TCCCAATGCCAGATTTTGCGCGTACCAGGGGGTCCATGAGCCAGCCCTACTTAGTTCACCTCCTGTCCTAGCAGGAACAGTGGCTTTTCCTGACTGGCCTTCAACCCAATCTGGTTTTTATTATTGGATGTTTCAGCCTAGCCAAGGCTCGTTCATACCCACATACTGCTCACACATGGCTCAGTAGGGGCTGAGACTTAGCCTAGTCAGTCCTACACCTACCCTGATCCTCCAGAGCACCAGAAGGTGTTGGAGTCTAGCCCGGCTTGATGCGTCCAGTCCAAGTCCACACTTGTGCTAAATGAGACTACAGCCATATCCTGATCAGAACGTAGCCCCCATTCCAGCCCCATGCTCCTTGGTGGGAACCTCCACCCAGCTAGGGTGTTCCTTTAGCTCCCCAACTGCGCCTATTCCCAGCCATAGATCGTGCACATGCCAGTGGTTGCTCTGACTCAGCTTGGCACAGCCCCTCACCTGTCCCGGCCTCTGCCTTACACACTGTGGCTTAGAGTCTCTGGCTCATGCAGACCAGTAGATGCAAGAGCCTAGCTCGGCATGACCTGTGCTCTATCCTGATTTCAAACTTTTTTTAAAAAAGATTTATTTATTTATTTTATTGGAAAGTCAGACATACAGAGAGGAGGAGAGACAGAGAGGAAGATCTTCCGTCCGATGATTCACTCCCCAAGTGACTGCAATGGCCGATGCTATGCTGATCCGAAGCCAGGGTCCAGGAACTTCTTCTGGGTCTCCACACAGGTGCAGGGTCCCAAAGTTTTGGGCCATCCTTGAGTGCTTTCCCAGGCCACAAGCAGGGAGCTGGATGGGAAGCAGGGCTGCCAGGATTAGAACCAGCGGCCATATGGGATCCCGGCACGTTCAAGGCGAGGACTTTAGCCACTAGGCCTCACTGCTGGGCCCCTGATTTCTAATTTTGAATGTGAGCTAAGGTTTGCTCAGTCCTGCCCAGTCCACCCTGTTCCGTTACCAACCCACACATTAGCCAGGCATTGAAGCTACTTTGCCCAGCTTGTCCAACCCCCAGGTCTGGACCATGTGTTCACCAGTGGGAGCTATGACCCGCCAGGGGAGTTTCCCAAGTCCCTCCACTTGACCCACTTCTGGACCCAGTTCTCATACATGCCAGTGGGTTTTAGGTCAGTGCCTGGCGTAGTCTGGCCTTCCATTTGGCCTTGTATGAGCTGGTGAACATTGCAGCCCGGCCCACCCCACACCCTATTCAGGATGCACATTCAGGTGCTGCTGCCTTGACTAGTCCAGACTGTTGTGGGTTCCTTTTCCTGTGAGTGATGGCAGGCTCCTTGGTCCCACCTAGCTTAGTCCATCACCCCTTCAACTCTTGAGCTAACCAATGGATTTAGTATTTCCACAAGGGTTTGGCCCACACCCCTCCCCACAGAATCAACCCCTGGATATGCTTCTCTCGTGTGCTACTTAATTTCATGGCCCTGCCTAATATGACCTGTTTCCTGATTCATCATCATGTCAGGTTATAAGATATGGTCCTGCTAGATAAGCCCCGAGTCTTAGCTTTTGCATGGACTCGTATTCAGTGGTCAGCATTGTTAAGTGATGACAAGTACTACACAGGATCTAAAGGAGTTTGGTATATCAGTCTTATCCATAAAGATCATCTGGTCCCTCTCCTCCAACCTACTAGGTCTTATTACCCTCCCTTACCTTCATAGGAAAAGTTACTCTGTCGTTGTGATTGTTTAGTATTAGTTGATATTCCAGAAGTACAGTGGGCTTGACATGGAGATACCTAAGCAGCAATTTAGAGCCCAAAACCCGAGAGCAGACAGCCAGGCAGAAAGCAGGCGGAGCCTGGCGCCGAATGGTGCAGTGGCCACCCAGGGACAGGTCACCACGTGGACATAGTGACTGGAACCAGGGCTCCGAGCATGGAGACAATCCCGGCCTGTCACCCACCAGCAGCCAAATGGCTGCTGGAAGTTTAAATCTCCCCAAGTCTGGGTTCTTATGTTTGATTTCCACAAAGAACTCTGTAGCCCCAGCTCCTGGCTCACCACTCTCTACCTCCTGTGATATCATGCTGAGGCTGCACCGTGTCTGTACAGCCTTTCTCCCACTTGCGGTTGGAGCACGTCCAAGGATTAGGGAGACACTAGGTGTCCTATATAGCTAGGTTGCTGGTGGTGCTAACCTTGTTGGAACCTGTTGGATGTTAGGTCTGGGTGCCACACGGACCTATTTTGACCTGTATGGTGCCACAGTCGGTATTGTTTTCCTCGGGGACCAGTGTAATCCATTGAACTCAGTGAGTTCTCGCAAACTCAGCACATGCACAGTTCACTGTTGTCCCCTGCAGTCCTAAACTTTTACCACAGTGTACAAAATGGCAGCTGACGTACCACTAATAGAGTTCTTGATCTGCTGGCCGTCAGATTTGAGGGCTATCCTGACCTGTCTTGGGTGGAACCTCTAGAATGCCATGTTGATGCAGTTCACTGAGTCAGAAATGAGTTCACTCCCAGCTCAGTGTATGCTCAGTCCTTTCCCTTGCCTTTGCCTCCTTAAGCAAAATGGCGCACAGTTTGGCTCTAGGGGGCTGACTGGGCTGTGAAATCCATCCTGTTCTTGCACTGCCATCTGGGATCTGCTGCTCTGTCTCTGCTCCTGGTCAAATCAAACGGACCAGCAGGATGGACAGTTCTTTGTTTGGGTTCACTTCCCAAGCTCCCAGTGAAATTCCCTTCCCACCTGGTTGCTGGTGGAGTTCCGGCTGCTGGTGGAGTTCAGATCGCCCGTTAGCTGAATGCTGCTGGAGTATCAGTTACTGCAACACCACACCATTGTGCCCGCTGCTCTGCTGTGTCTGTCAGTCTCCAGGTGCCCTCTGCTGTTGTTCTGTCCTTTCCTATTTCCTGGAATGTGTCCTCTCTGCTTCATCCTGATTAAATGTTTCTCCATCTGTTTAAACGTGTCCTTACCCTATTCCGCCATCCTGATGCTCCCCTAAGAACAGATTTTTAACCATCTAATACACTTGATCTTGTGATATTTAAATATTTGGTATAATGAATTTGTTTCTGTGCGGCTGGGAGGTGCTGTGCAGGGAAGGAGGGCCGCAGCTCTGCAGCCCCAGGTCTGCTGCAGTGGGCACTTGAGTGCTTGATGCTGAGGAGTCATCTGGAAGGCACCTCCCCATCTTGACCTTGGGAGGGGAGCCCTGGCTGAGACGCACCCCACCACAGAGCTTCTCAGACACTCTGCCAGCTCTGTCATCTCGGCATGCTGGCACTGACTGGCCGCCTCCCCCTGGCCCTGTGTGTGGTCTTTGGGTTTCTTACCTCCTGGAGTGTCACTATGTGCCCTGTGTGCACCAGCACCGTGGTCTACCCTCAGGGTCTGTGCACAGTGAGTCCCGCCTGGTGTCCACTGTCTGCCCAGGGGTGGGTGTCAGTGCAGTGAGTCACAGGAGGAGCGGGCTGCGTGTTGGCAGCGGCTGCAGTGTGGCCTGCTCAGGGGGTCCACGGGTACAGCTCCTAGGGTGGCCTGTTCAGGGGATCCACGGGTGCAGCTCCTGGGGTGGCCTGCTCAGGGTCTCCCTGGGTGCAGCTCCTGGGGTGGCCTGCTCAGGGGTCTCCCTGGGTGCAGCCCCTGGGGTGTGGCCTGCTCAGGGGTCTCCCTGGGTGCAGCTCCTGGGGTGTGGCCTGCTCAGGGGTCTCCCTGGGTGCAGCTCCTGGGGTGTGGCCTGCTCAGGGGTCTCCCTGGGTGCAGCTCCTGGGGTGTGGCCTGCTCAGGGGTCTCCCTGGGTGCAGCTCCTGGGGTGGCCTGCTCAGGGGTCTCCCTGGGTGCAGCTCCTGGAGTGGCCTGCTCAGGGGTCTCCCTGGGTGCAGCTCCTGGGGTTGCCTGCTCAGGGGTCTCCCTGGGTGCAGCTCCTGGGGTGGCCTGCCTCTGTCCCTCCCGTTAGACTGAGAGTTGCGGGTTTACTTCTTGAGGGACTCACCGGTCGTGACGGAGAGGTGTGCTCCCCTCGCCATGTTTCTCTGCCACGGAGTTTATTCCCAGATGCAGATGGTAGTTTAAGGGTAGTTTTCCTTTCAAGCCATTTCCTCTGGCCCCTTGTGTGTATAAGTCAGTTTTGCATTCCTGTAAGGAAATACCTGAGGTAACTAGCTTGTACTAGAGGTTACCTTGGGTGGGCACCCAGGTTCCCAGTAAGGCCTGGGCTCATCGCTTGGGCTCTGGTGATGCAGCATGGAGCTTCACATGCTAGAGTGCACGTGTCTTTGGGGTGTCTGGGGTGTTTTAGGGGTATCTGTGGGGTGTCTGCAGGGTGTCTGCATGGTGTCTGTGGGGTACCTGTGGGGTGTCTATGGGTTGTTTGCGGGGTATGTGTGGGTGTGGGGTGTTTGTGGGGTATCTGTGGGGTGTCTGCAGGGTGCCTGTGGGGTGTCTGTGGGATGTTTGTGGGGTGTTTGAGGTGTCTGCAGGGTGTCTGGGGTATTTGCAGGGTATCTGTGGGGTGTCTGCAGTGTGTCTGCGGGGTGCCTGTGGGTGTCTGCAGGGTGTCTGTGGGGTGCCTGTGGGGTGTCTGGAATGTTTGCGGGGTATCTGTGGGGTGTCTGTGGGGTGCCTGTGGGATGTTTGTGGAGTGTCTGAGGTGTCTGCAGGGTGTCTGTGGGGTGTCTGGGGTATCTGTGGGGTGTCTATGGGGTGTCTGAGGTGTCTGTGAGGTATCTGCAAGGTATCTGGGGTGTCTGATGTGTGGTGTGTGGGGTGTCTGCGGGGTGGCTTGTCTTATAATTGTGACTGTCTCATTCTAGTGGCCCTGTCCACCCAGCCTTCTCCCCACAGCCCCATTCCAGGCACTATCCTTGGAATGAGTTGGCCCCCTTTTGGAATGTAAGGCTTGGTCCCCAGCCTCGAACACCTGAGTAGACATCTCAAGTAATGTCCAGCCCTCTGTAGCCTTCAAAGTGAAGCCTGTTGTTCTGTTTCGATTGCAGGAGAAGCTGGCTGTCCGACAGCAGCTGGATGAAGCCAAGCAGCAGCTCCTGCAGCAGGCTGAGTACTGCACGGAGATGGGCGCCGCAGCCTGCACCCTCCTGTGGGGCGTCTCCGGCAGCGCGGAGGTCGTCCAGGCCATCCTGGGAGGAGTAAGTGCAGCCGGTGGGGCGGTGGGGTTCTCTTTCTGAGTGCTGTGCAGGGTGCTGAGCAGGGCACCGAGAGGCTGAGTTCGGGCCCTTGGCTGGCGTGAGTGTGCTGTGGGGTGTCGTGTGGGCCCTTGGCTGGCGTGAGTGTGCTGTGGGGTGTTGTGTGGCAGTGGTCATTGCCTCAGCATCATCACTGCTCATGAATGAAGGGGCTTTGTAAAGTTCATGGAGAATGGAATCAAAAGGTTATTTTGATGCAAAACATATTGGAACTGTCATCGTTTTTCCATGGTAAACATTTACTGTGAACTTTTTAAAGACTCCTGTGCATGAATTTGAGAAGTTTTTGTTCCCAAACTTATTTCCAAGATCTTTTGGAAGTATCTTGGTATTTGAATTTAATAAGGTTTCGTGTGTCTCTGCAGTAATGTGATATTTAGTGTTTTGGATGTTCTGTGTGTATGCATGGGCCGGGATTTGGCATGGGTCTTGATTAACAGGAAGAAAAGGTGGGGAGGGGAGCTCAGGGAGCCACACGGTGGAGACAGGTGCTCCTGGGGAGGTCTGAGCTCTGCCTTCAGCAGAGGCCGTTCATGTGGGAAGTCTTGCCCGTTGTGGGTGGGAGCGTGGCCATCAGCAGCTGGTGGGTGACTCTCCCCGGGAGGTGGTGGTTGACCTGCAAGGCCATTTGGTGTGGCCGCGGTGAGTAAGCACACAGCTGACTCATTTCTTATTGTTTCTGCATCCAGGCTGAGGGCTTACTATTTTCTAACAGAGTTGATTTGGCACTGGAGTCTCCCTTCCCCTCCCTCTGTTCTCCCCTCCAGTCTTACAGTGGGTGTCTTGGGAATTTTCACGAATCCATCGTGAGTCCGTCCTCATAGTGCATGTGGGGGACTTACTTCTCTCTCGTTCCACCTATGAACGCATTAACTTCTGCTATGTTTCCACATGAGGTTAACGCACACAGAACAAAGGCTTCAGTGTGACGCTAGGGTGGTGAAGAGGAGTGTCCCACATCTTCACAGGAGTAAATGCCAGCGTGTGTGCCAAGGCCCTGATGAAGGTGCAGTGAGGACCAGATCCTTGTTACCTACGGGCAGTAGCAATAAAGTGATAAAAGGGACATTAACAGTCTCAGGTGATTATAAACAGTCTCTTATGAATGATTAATTAATGAATTACATCACCAGATCTTATTATGAAAGATACAAGCAACTAGGCAGTGAAATAGGGTAAAATTCACATGTCAGATCCTTAGATTTGACATCATATTATATTAGAGCAAACATACGATATCTGACGTTTTGGCATTGGCTCGTTTCCCTTAGCATAATGGTCTCAAGTCTGGCTCAGCCCTAATTTGATTACGTGGTATGGCTCATGAGTGATGTTATAAATATGCACATGGCCCTTGGCACATAAAAGGTGACGTGGGCTGTGCAGCCATCACTATACTGATGTGCAGATGACCCTGTCACCCGGGAGCGCCCTTGGGTCACAGTGCGGCTTGGTGTTCAGGTTCTGCCACCTTGGGCACACTGTGCTCAGCAGTGAGGAGTAACCCTGGCAGGAGACCTTCCTTACTGGCCCCGCCTCTTTTACTATTTGAGTTAAAACGTTTTCCATGGTGCCAGCACAGTGTGTAGGCTAAACCTGTACCTGTGTGCTGGCATTGCTATGGGCATTGGTTTGAGTCCAGGCGGTCCCCTTCTGATCTCATTCCATGCTTATGTACCCGGGAAGGCAGGGCAGAGGAGGGCACAGGTCCATGGGCCCCTGTTCCCACGGGGGAAACCTGGAAGAAGCTCCTGGCTTCAGATTGGCCCAGCTCCTCCACTGTAGTCATTTGAGGTGTGAACCAGCAGGTGGAAGATCTCTGTAACTCTGCCTTTCAAATCAAAATAAAATACATCTTTAAAAAAGTATTCATTTGAGAGACGCAGAAAGTGAGACAGGCAGACACAGTGTAGCTCCATTAAATGCCAGCCTGCAGAAGCTGGGCCAGGCCGGCTGGGTTTCTGTCTCTCCCACGGGGGTGATGGGGGCTGCTCGCTGCCTCCCAGGGCCTGCCTTAGCCGGAAGCTGGAACTGGGGACTGGAGGTGGCATCAAACCCAGTACTCTGGTAGGATGAGGGCGAGGGCGTCTGACCAGCTGCCTTCCTGCTAGGCCACGCAGTAAGGCTCTCTTTGAAAGGTTTCCTGTTGTCAGTCCTCTGACTGAATGCCCAGTTCAAGCAGACCACCTATTTTCCTAGGATGTTTTCACCATCTTAATGAGTCAATCCCAGTACTTCCATCATTTTGTAAATTCAGCCTGTTTCTCATGAATATTTTTTGTTCTTTCTGTACATGCTGTCAATCTCCAAGTTTCTTGCTCCGGCATGTTCTACAACCCTTGTCTGGCCTTGTCGGGGAGTGCTTACTGAAGGCAGCACTGTCCCTCACGTCTCTGATTTAAGGCAGGGCCTCTGTGCCCCTCGCTGCCTTACTGCTGAGAGCGGGGCAGGAGTGACCTTCTCCTTTCTAAACTTCCAGGAAAAAGCGCTCAAGTTTTTCACCATCACTGGGCAGACAATGGAGAGTTTTGTGAAATCCCTGGACGGGGATGTCAAGGAGCTGGATTCCGATGAAAGCCAGTTTGTTTTTGCTTTGGCCGGAATTGTGACAAGTAAGTAATTCTCCGTGGACGGAGCGGCTGTTCTGAGGCTGGGTGTGGGTGGGCCTCTCGGTAGGGGGCGTGTCCGGGTGGGCCTCACTCTGGCCTGTGTTGGAAAAGTGCTGCAGGTGCTTCAGGTAAGTGTGAGCTGGTCAGAGGGCCTGCCTCGGGGGTGGTGGATGGAGGCTCGTGGGCGTGTTCCGTCCCCGTGTGGGTGGGTGGTGGATGGAGGCACGTCGGCGTGTTCTTCCCTCCCCCCCCCCCACCCCGTGGGTGAGTGGTGGGAGGAGATGTGTGGGCGTGTTCCGTCCCTCGTGTGGGTGGGTGGAGGGAGGAGATGTGTGGACGTGTTCCGTCCCCCGTGTGGGTGGGTGGTGGATGGAGGCACGTGGGCGTGTTCCGTCCCCTGTGTGGGTGGGTGGTGGGAGGAGATGTGTGGACGTGTTCCGTCCCCGTGTGGGTGGGTGGAGGGAGGAGATTTGTGGGCGTGTTCCGTCTCCATGTGGGTGGTGGATGGAGGCGCGTGGGCGTGTTCCGTCCCCCCTGTGGCTGGGTGGTGGATGGAAGCTCGTGGGCGTGTTCCGTCCCCCGTGTGGGTGGGTGGTGGGAGGAGGTGAGTGGGCGTGTTCCATCTCCGTGTGGGTGGGTGGTGGGAGGAGATGTGTGGGCGTGTTCCGTCTCCGTGTGGGTGGTGGATGGAGGCGCGTGGGCATGTTCCGTCCCTGTGTGGGTGGGTGGAGGGGACAGTGAGCAGAGTCTGAGTTTGGATCTTTGCCCTTGGCTAATGTCAGACTGAGCTGAGGTGGAGCGCTTGTCACCACTGCTGGTACACTAATTAAGCGATTTTTAAAATGGAAATTTCTCCTTGGTACATTTCTCCTGCCTTTCCCTGAGAGTGTGAGTAAAATGGGAAAGCTGTGAAAGGAGGGAAGCACTGGGGGAATGGTTCATTAGTGGGGCGCGACGTGCTGTGTCTGTGTGAGCGTGGAGACCATTCTGAAGTCAGCAGGTGGCTCAGTGGCTTAAGCCTCTGTGTGGCGGTGTCCAAATCACAGCTCCGTGTGAGTCCCAGACGCGCCGCTTGCAGGCCAGCGAGCTGCTGATGCAGCGAGGCAGTGGCAGGGATGGGCCAAGTGCGCGGGCCCCCGCCCCCTCAGGGAGAGTCGGCGGAGCTGTGGCCTTGCAGCTTTAGTCTGAACCAGCCCTGCCGCCGTAGCCTTTTGAGAGTGAGCTAGTGAGTGGAGGATCTTTCTGTAACTCAAATTTTCAAAGAAATAAATCCCGAGGAAGGCCTAACCTGGCTGTGTGTGCTCTGTTGCGACAATGGTTTTCCTCTGCTCTGGCCTGGGCTGTGGAGAGAGCAATGTTTGTTCTTCCTGTATTCTTCTGAAATCCCAGTGGATCACGTCTTGTGTAGACATTTCCCAATTAAGCTCTTAAAATTGGTGTTATGGGCCTGGTGCGGTAGCCTGGTGGCTAAAGGCCTCATTTTGCATGCGCCAGGATTCATATGGGCATCGGTTCGTGTCCCGGATGTGCCACTTCTCATTCATCTCCCTGTTTGTGGCCTGGAAAATCAGCAGAGAATGGCCCAAGGCCTGATGTGGGAGACCTGGGAGCAGGACCTGGCTTCGGGTCAGCTGAGCTCTGGCCATCGTGACCACTTGGGGAATGAACCAGCGGACAGATCTTTATCTGTATCTCCTTCTCTCAGTATATCTGCCTTTCCAATAAAAATAAATAAATCTTTTAAAAAATTGGTGACACTTGGGGTTGGCTCCGTGGTATAGAGGGCTGAGCTTCCGTCTACAGCACCAGGGTCCCATATTAGTGCTGGTTCATGTCCCGGCTGCTCCGCTTCCCATCCAGCTCCCTGCTGTGGCCTGGGAAAGCAGAGGAGGACGGCCCAATCCTTGGGACCCTGCACCTGCGTGGGAGACAGGAAGAAGCTCCTGGCTCCGGATCAGCTCAGCTCCGGACACTGAGGCCACTTGGAGAGTGAACCAGTTGGACGGAAGATCTCTCTCCGCCCCCTCTCTTCTTTCCTCTTCCTTCTTATTTTTTTCTGTAACTCCACTTTCTAAATAAAAAAAATCTTAAAGAGTCAGTTGTTTTTGTTGCTTGTTGTGGGGTGGTCTGTGGCTGCCATGGTCCCTGGCCAGCTCTCTGATGTTCTCAGTTCCCCCTTACGGCTGTTGGGGAAAGGCAGTTTTCTAACAGGCTTGAGCAAAGGTGGCGATCGGGGTCGCCTCGCTGCAGGTGAGCCCTGGAGCACTCTGAATTGTGTGATTTGTGAACTTGAGCTGCCCATGGTGCCAGTGAGGCACTTACTCTAGCTGGGTTGGCCTTGTTTGTCCTGCCCGTGCTGCCCATGGTACCCACCCTGCCCGTGCTGCCCTCACTGCTCACCCTGCCCAGGCTGCCTGCTCAGCCTGTGCTGCCCACCCTGCCTGCACTGCCTATGCTGTCCTCATTGCCCGTGCTGCCCATGCTGCGCACCGTGCCCGTGCTGCCCTCACTGCCTTGTGTTAGAAGAGGAGACGTGCTTCTGCCTGAAAGTGAGTGTGATGGAAGGTGGCGTGCCTCTTGCTGCTGGTGCAGAGGCCTGGGCATCAGCCACAGCGCAGGCTCTGGGTCAGCTGCTGGGCACTCTTCCTCCCCAAACGGTTGTTTTTTAAAAACTTGCATAAATGCAGTCTTTACTCCTGGTTTGTCCTGTTTGTAGTTCTGTGAATTGGGACAAGTGCATTCAACCATGTGTGTTTATTGACTTTTTGTTACTTTTACTGAAATTTTTGGAGGGCTAATTTATAACACAGCTGATGTTGGCTCATGGTGAACCTGGATTTCCTCACCGTCTCCCCTTGTGAAGCCACTGTGACCTAACCCTCTCCTTCAGACAGCACAACTGGAGCAGGCCTTTGTGACCCGTTAGCCTGAGGTGGAGTAGGGGGCCGGCTCCTGTCAGCCAAGGCAGTGTGGAGCTCCCCCGTTGGCTGCCGGCAGCTGCCCACCTCTTCCTTGCAGCAGCCCTGCAGTCCCTGACCCCACTTGGGAAACGGGCTCACCTTTTCTTGCCATCTTGTCTGCCCCAGCTCAGCCGGCACTGGCGCCAGGCCCTACCTTCTTATTTCCTACTTTAGGTCTCCAGTCTCAACTCTCCAACAGATTCAGGAAAAGTCATGACTTTGTAAATTGCCCCCACTGTCCTCCAGAATGGGTGGACGGCTCTTCCTGGTTTACTGTGCCCTGCGTGAGAGCTGGACACCAGGACTGTGTGAACACCGTGTTGTCACTGTGGTGCTGAGGGTCCAGTCTCCCTGTCTGTGAGTGGGATGGGCAGGCTGCGTCCCTTCCACACGTGCTGCGGCCGTCCTGTGGTGAGATGGGCAGGCCTGCGTCCCTTCCACGCGTGCTGCGGCCGTCCCGTGGTGGGATGGGCAGGCCTGTCTCCCTTCCACGCGTGCTGTGGCCATCCTGTGGTGGGATGGGCAGGCTGCGTCCCTTCCACGCGTGCTCTGGCCATCCCGTGGTGGGATGGGCAGGCTGCGTCCCTTCCACGTGTGCTGCGGCCGTCCTGTGGTGGGATGGGCAGGCCTGCGTCTCTTCCACGCGTGCTGTGGCCGTCCCGTGGTGGGATGGGCAGGCCTGTCTCCCTTCCACGCGTGCTGTGGCCGTCCCGTGGTGGGATGGGCAGGCCTGTCTCCCTTCCACGTGTACTGCGGCCGTCCCGTGGTGGGATGGGCAGGCTGTGTCCCTTCCACGCGTGCTGCGGCCATCCCGTGGTGGGATGGGCAGGCCTACGTCCCTTCCACGCGTGCTCTGGCCGTCCCGTGGTGGGATGGGCAGGCCTGTCTCCCTTCCACGTGTGCTGCGGCCGTCCCGTGGTGGGATGGGCAGGCTGTGTCCCTTCCACGCGTGCTGCGGCCGTCCCGTGGTGGGATGGGCAGGCTGTGTCCCTTCCACGTGTGCTGCGGCCGTCCCGTGGTGGGATGGGCAGGCTGCGTCCCTTCCACGCGTGCTGCGGCCATCCCGTGGTGGGATGGGCAGGCCTGTCTCCCTTCCACGTGTGCTGCGGCCGTCCCGTGGTGGCAGATGGAGCACACTGCACTGAGGACATTAACTGGGATGTGGATGGTGATTTTTCCAACTGCTTTCTGCTTTGCTTTCCTTTTTGTTTTTTGTAAATATTAGGAGACGAAGTTAGAGAAAGAGCCACAGAGCATGGTCTCCATCTGCTGGCCAGGTGGGAAGCTGGGGACCAGGGGCTTCTTCCAGGTCTCTCACACGGGGCAGAGCCTTCTGCTGCTGCTTTTGCCAGGCCATGAGCAAGGAGCTGGATTGGAAGCAGAGCAGCTGGAACTCCAGTTGGCACCCTGATGGGATGCTGGCTTTGTACCTGCCACACCACACTGCTGGCGCCTGCTTTCTGCTTTCTCTCCCAGCAGAGTCCTATGGCAACGATCCAGATATTGAGCAGGTTGGAAAATGATAAGAAGTTGTAACTGTATTTTTTGCCTCCTAGCTCTGGTTCATGTGTCACAATAATATTAGATAGTGTAGCAACAGGATGAATTTTTGGGGTTGGTAATTTTGGGATAGAACTGGATCCAGCATAGCCTGCTGTTGGCCATACTGGGCACTCAGTCATCAATAGTAGGGCCTCTCTGTGTCAGGACCGCTCTGGTCTTCCTCCAGATCACACACGCATGCTCACACGTGCATAGGGGCGGGGAGCCCAGACCAGACACACATGGGTGGGAATCCTAGACCACGCACACGCGCACAGGGGTGGGGAGCCCAGACCAGACACACACAGGTGGGAATCCTAGACCACGCACATGCGCACAGGGGTGGGGAGCCCAGACCAGACAGATACACACATGAGGGTGCGCACATACACACGGGTGGGAAGCCCAGACTACACATACACAGGCACACACACACACATGTATGCACACACAAATGAGGGTGGGAAGCCCAGACCCCCCCCTCCCCCCAACACACGGGTG